CAGTAGAAACAGCCGGTTGTTGATCACGTGACTCCCGTGATGCGAAAAAAAGTGTTTCCATTGCAGTTTTGCGAAAAACACCAATTTCGAAACGGCCGAAAAACCACCTCATCCTARCGCAAAAACATTTTGTCGAAAAACGTAATTTTTTTCGAAATTTGACGTGTTTCCATTGAGTAAATTTATTTTCAAAATTCTAATTTGCGCATTTTCATGGTCAATGGAAACGCAGCTATAGATAAAACCATTATAAATTCATTAGGAAAGATATTTTCTGTATGAGTTGCCTGTGATTCAGCCATAGGCCTGTAGTGGGCGTACCAGGCACTGAAGATCCCTGTATTTAAAGACCGGAACGTCCGGTTTCAGGCAGCGCTGCTTTGCTTCTCCACCCGTGAGCAATAAATCTTCGCTCATAACCAGATCTGGGGTTGTATGGTTCCATTCTCATCACATTTTAGTCTATTCAGCATTTATGTGGTTTTGTAACGATTTCAGTTTACAAACACAAAATATTTTTACACCAACATTGAAGGCTAATCTAAGAATGATCTGTTTTACATGATAAACTGATCATAGGATTATATTTCACCTGGGGTGCACGCTTTAGAGGCCAAATTAGGAGTATGAGATTGAATCAGGTTTTAGACTTGAACATTTATTTGCATACACAAAACATAGATTCAGCTCTGGTCCATTTTGACCAAGCTTAGCCCACTTCTTCGAAATCCAAACAAAATGGCCCTGAATTACGTGTTCTTACATTGTTTGTAGAAAACCTGGTCACACACTAGATATAAACAAGTACTACATAGTAAACAAGGAAGTAAGTTATAGAAACAAACAATATGGCTGTGTCCAAATTCAGAGGCTGCATCCTCCTGAGTGTGCATTTGTCGGCTGCTTATGTCACTGCCCCGCTCCGAATGCTGTCCAAATTTGTGGTCTCCTTCTCAAGTGGGCGACAAATGTGTCCCACAGAACCCCGAAAATGAAGGCTGCATCTGAGTATCCTTCATGGCCAAGGATTTCCCAGGATTTATTGCGCCGTCAACAAACTAAACAAAAACAAAGAGGACAGAGTTTGTTAGTTTTTTTTCTTTACCAATTTGCAATTTTTAGAAATTCATCATGGACACAATTAATTTTTAAATGTAAGTTTAGCAATTTAGCTAAATTAATTCTGCAATAACTGAGATGTTAAAGGGGCAATATCATGTAAAATCAACTTTTTTGAGTTTTATATCATGTTATAATGTTATACTCTCAAAAAAAACATGCCCAAAGCCTTGCTCTGACTCATTCATGCATGTTAGAGAAATCCTGCAGTGTTTTTAGGAAGCCATGCTGAGGAGCAAAACAACAGGTGGGGACCAGAAACACCTTTTGGTACCAGAAACACCCCTGGGACGTGTCTTTAAGCTGAACTTCCTCATGGCAGAGCGCACCCCCACACACACACACACACACACA